AAGGTGCTTGAGGTGGTGTCCAGGACATCCCCACGCTGTACACACACAGCAGTTGGGATGTGGTGAATGTCCTGATCCCTGGAACTGCTCATACGGCCAAAAGCTGTGACCTTTTCTTCTGTCACCTGTGCTTTGCTCTGTTCCTTGTGCTTCCAGCAGTGAGTGAGCTGAGCAAAGATTCCCCTTTGCTTTGTTCCAGGTGAAGATACCCACACAAGCCTTCATGGATCAGCTGTGAATGTCCACATCAGACTGGACAGGAATTCTGTGACAGTTGAGAAGACTTACATCACACTGTCAAACCACAGCTCCGTGACGATCCTCAACCACAGTAATGTCACAGCCCGCTTCCAGTGGAAGGCTTTTGCTACTCAGGAAGAGGAGGATCAGCTGAAGCAGAGGTGGGTTTGAGAGGTGCATTTCAGGGAGGTACACTGCCCAAGGGTATAACCAACACATGGCCTCAGGGAGGTGTGTTGGTGCTTTTGCATGTTTAGGACAATTAAACCATCCCTGGCATCAGGGTGTGTGTCTCTGGGCTTCAGGGTAATGGAACTCAGCACTTTCCATTCCAGCTCCAGTTGAGGATGATGTTTTAGGGAGGAAGGGTTGATTGCAATGACTGGATTACCTCAGAGAGCAAATTCGTGCTTGTGGAGCCACAGACCATTGAGGTCCAGAGATCCCTGGGCTACAGAGGGTCCGGGAGGCTGAGGAGGGTGTCAGCACCCGAAACCTGGGACTGCACTGAGCAGTAGGACTTATAGCTCAGGTAGCACAGCTGTTCTTGTAGTCACTGCAGTTTCCTCTGCTCCAGCTCTGATGAGATGGCAGGTTCCTTTCCAGAGCTGTGCAGGGTAGGGGGTTTTGTTGGCCCAGAGAGCTGAGGCCATCCTGCTGCAGGGTGTTGAATTGCCCTGCACTGCCCCAGTCTCCACCACAATGAGGTATTTCCACCCTTCCTTACAGGCTGGGGAGTTTGGAGGTGGAGGGTTCTGCAGGGAAGGTAGGGCAGCACAGGCCTTGGAAGTGCATTTGGGCTTCAGCAACCTGTGTCTTCACAGTGGTGAGAGGTGGGGCTGGTTCTTCAAAGGGTACCTTTGGGGCAGCTTTGAAATTCCCACTTCAGGCAGTAAAGAAGCACTTACAGCCCAGGGGGATAGATTGAAAATGACACTGGAAAGCTTGGGTGGTTCAGGGAGTCCTTGTGTGACTTTTCAGATTTGGATGGATGTGGGTATACAGGAGTTAGTCTGAACCCAGAGCTGATCAGGAAACTGCCTCAAACTGCAGCACTTTTTAAGGGCTTCTGAGCAAATAAAGTTCAACGTAATTAGGTCAGAAATGCCTTGCAGGCCAAAACTAGTTTTCCACTGTTCTCTATTTAATTACACAGTGTCTGACTTCTATGCAAGCTCAGTGTGTTAAAAGAAAATCTCATGACCTTCTCTGGGTACTTCTCTGGACCATTCCTTTCCCACTTCTTCCCACCTGCCTGTCTCAGCCTGGATCCTGAGTGATCCTCTTTCCCCTCATAGGTAACCAGGTTTCCCCACAGTTAACTTTTTTTCCAGTTATGTTTGCTTTCATGTCAGTTTGTGTCCTCAACTTTGACCAGGAGGTTTTGTTCTTCCTTACTTGCAATCTTAGGGGTGGTCATAGCTCCAAGGCTGCTGTCCTGCTGTCAGAGAAGCTTTTGAGATCTCAGAGCAGAGGTGACTTTTTCATGAGAGGGGGCAGTGCAGGACCCTGCTCTGGGATGGGTTTCAAGGCCTATCCAGGATTGGCTCTGTCTCCCTCCCGCAGGACTTTCTGGGATGCCACGGCAGAATTATTGTCTGTTGATGGAGGTTGAGTGGAGGGTTGCCCATCCCAGCGGCTGGAAGCCTCCCCATGCCCAGCACTGCAGCTCAGCCACGGAGAAACATTTCCAATTGTGCTCCACAGGGAACCAGCCAAAGAGAGTATTTTTGGTGCTGGTGACAGCGTCTGCCCGAGGCTCTGTCTGTGTGCAGCTGGTAATGTCCACGACTGTATCTCCTTTCTAATTGTGTTTGAAGTTGGCTGGGTGATGATCTCTGACCTGCTTCTTCCGCGCTGCCTCGATTTGCTCCATATGGAGGTTCCACTTGTCCCCCTGGTTGTCACCTGCTGGTTCTTCTTGGCAGGGGACTGGAGCGTGAAGGGGGGACAGTGACCTGCCAGCTAGAAAGCAACTACTCTGTAGCAGTGCTCCCTTCTCATCTTTTGGGCTTCTCTCCTGTTGTCTTTAAACACTAGAATGATTTTTGCTGCAGCTACCAAGTAAGGGAGAGCTCTGGGGTGCTCTAGTGGAAGGTAGTGTAGGGAACAGGGCAGGTGGACTTTGCTTATCCCTGCAGGTCCAAATGGGAAGAAGCAAAGAGTGATGCTGGTAACCTGCAGCTGAAACCCAGCTTCTTCTTCCCTTCCCAGGGAAGCCCTGCAGTGGGTGCTCCTTGATCTTTATCTACCTCCCCAGAGCAGCTCTGTGGTAGGAAAAGCCAGCTGAAGTGGCTGGTGGATACCCCCTCGGTGGCTTTGAGCCAGGAGGCTCTTTGAAGGGTTCCTGGCTTTCAAAACCTCTCCTGAGCTTGTGAGTGTGGAGTAAAACCACCTGCTGTGCCAACAAACAAGGGATCCTCTGATCCATCTGGAACTCCACGGCTCGGGGTCAGCCCCTGGCTGAGGAGCTACTGCTGCTCCTCCACAAGTGCTTTGCTGCTGCACTTACACTTATCCCTGCAAATATGTGGCCTGTTAAACAATCTGCTGGGTTTTTCTCTCCCCGTGGCTGCAGGTTCTGCCACTGGCTGTGCCAGGAGGAAAATGCCCAGGCAGATAATTTTCTGGAGTGGAGCAGAGCGGACACCACTCGTGGAGAACGCCTTTCCCTGCTCTCCCACATCTACCAGAACGAGAGGACAAAGGTGCAAGGAGATCCCATGCTGTTCTTTGATGACATTTTCACTATTAAACCGGTGGTAAGTGATATCTGAGATAGTTGATAGCTGAGAACCTCCCTTCCTCTTCCTTCTCCTCCTCCTCCCTTACATGAGGTCACTTGGCAGATTCCCACCTCAGC